TATCAGTTTTAGAAGTGATACAGTGACCAGTTACACTGCAAAGATGAAGAAACTATACATCAAGGACTGGTCTGACCAAGTACACTAATCTTCCCTGGGGTGTCTGTGGTTTTTCCATACACTTTCCAGAGACAGTGCAGTCAGAGTCGTGAAACTCAAAGGGTTTAGAGGTGCAGAGGATATCATCTGGAGATTGTATCTGATGACTCAAAGGGAGTTGTTAAAGTTGGGGTCATCACAAGAAAATGCACATCAACAGTCTGCACAGAACAATTTCCTGAAATGTGAAGAGGAAAAGTGACATTTCTGTTGTCTTAATTAAACACATACAAGTAAATAATTTAAATATCTCAGCATACGTTTTTCCGTTTCTTTTATGTCCCTGTTGTTGTTGTTAGGTGCTGCTGAGTTGAGTAGGGCTCATGTGACCCTATGAACAAGAGACCCGAGCCCGACCCCATCCTGTGCCATCCTCAGCGTCTCTGACACACTGAAGCCCACTGCTGCAGTCCCTGTGTCCATCCATCTGGCTGGAGGTCTCCTCTCTAACCCTCCACCTTTCCAAAGAAAAAAAAAGGTTTTCTTACAAATTACCAGCAGCAAGGAAATTAGTGGTAGGAAGTTGTGCTGCCGACTCAAAGGCACTTATTTATTTTGAATCCACCAACAGCTTCGGGGGAGAAATATGGATAATTTCCTCCTGTGCAATTTTACTGTCTCTGAAAACCCTGGAGGGTCATCCATGACTCAGTTCTGACTCAATGGTTCATAACAACTACAATTAAATTTAAGGAGCTCTGGTGGTGTGTTTTGTGGCTGAGAGGTCAGTAGTTCAAATCCACCAGTTGCCTACTGGGAGAAAGATGGGCCGTTTTCTCCCTTAAAGAATTACAGGCTGGAAAAACTAATGGTCAGAACTCTCCGGACAGCAGGGGGTTTGTTTTTATTTACATTTTGGGTTGTGTTAAAATTATAGATCTAAAAACTCACCACAAACACACTATCATACCATGAATCAGTTCTGACTCACGTGACCTTATGTCTTCAAGGGAGGATTCGAACCACCAAGCTTTGGTGAGCAGCTCAATACATAAAGTGCTATATGTTACCAGGGCTCCTTCATGAATGTCTATTTTTATATTGTGCTCTGGAGTCAAAATTGATGTGGGCCACATGAGGTGAGGCTAAGGTGAGGGAGGCTGGCTCATTCATTAGTTCTGAGACACTGACCCTCAGTGTCTGCTGGACACAAAGGACCAAGCCCAGCACAGCTGCCGGACACAGGGCTGACGAAGAAGAGCGCTCTGTGCCTGAAATGTTTAGCAGCCCGGGAAGAAAAGGTTAGGGTCTTCGTTTCTCCAGGCCCTGCTAGCAGATTTTACAAAAGAAACAGAGAGAGTTAGTCAAGCCTGAGACACCTGGTGGATCCACCATCTAGAAGGTCCTTTCCAGGTAGTCTCACTGCCTGAGACAGAAGAATGGCCGGGAGCTAGAGAAGGGTCAGGAAACCCCTTCTGTGGCTGAGCTCATACCGTGTGAACTGGGCAGGAAGTGACCACTGCAGCTGTCTTAACTTTGTCCACAGAGCACATGAGGTAGTCCCCCACTACCTATTTGTGACTGGAGACATCAATGATAAAAAGACAACTTGTGCGTCTAGTCATAGATCTTTCTGCCCAAACAAAAATGCAGTTGCTAGAAATTTCTAGAAGGGTCACCTGATGGCTTGCCAAGAACAAATGAAGTTGTCCCCTTGCTTAGTCTTTCCAAGCTGGTTTCATTTCACAAATCACTTTGTTTTTGTCTGACTAGTGGCTCTCGGCGGCTTCATTGGAAGAGGAAGCTGGGTAATAATTACATGCTGGTTATTGGCACGGTCTGCTGTCTTTTTGTGGATGGGGTAGATGAAAACAGAGAATGTGTGTAGTCTCCATCTCAGAAGAGCTCTGATCTTTAGTAACTTGAGAAGATAAACAGGCAAATAAATAGAGACAGCTTAAAGGTATTTGTCTTGATGGAACTGAGCCAGTGCGAAAGTTGGCTTCTCCTATAAGACAAGGATGCTGACAAGGCCCATCGTGTTTCTCACAAGAATTTTTGTGATGGGAGTGGCCATGGTTTCAGGTGTGGCTAGTGCATTTTGGATATTTTCTTCCCCTCTAGATGATAAAATTGATTTGAAATTCACTGGAAAAATCCAACCTTAATGTTCCCCTTGGAACACTAAAGTCAGAAGAGTAGGATAAAGTTCAAATTTGTTTTGAGAACTGATAAGTATTTTTTATATCTAGTGACTGAAACATATAAAACTAAACAATGCAGATAAGCTATCCATATGCTCTGGTAAACCAGTGTCTTCTTACATTTTTAACAGAACAAGATTTAAATAGCAAAGCCATGCGCTCCAGGGGCCCTGGGTAAATTCCTAGGAGACTCTTTTTAGGCTTCAGTTTTTGAAGCAACTTACTGGATATACAGGAAAGTGGTTTCTGTATAATGTTGTTATTATTATGACACTTTTACTTCTTAATCCCAGGTTTCTGGAAGTTCTTGTCATTCCCTTTCAGTCTTTTGTATTTTCTAATGAAGAAAAGTATCAGCTTCGTGAGTGATTCCATTATAGAGTTTGTAACATGCATTAAATGCATATAAGCGGAAACGTCTTAGTTGGAATATCTATGTATTTATGTCACACAGATTCCTAAACCTTGAGGGGAGGAAAGGAGTTACCGCTTTAACTTGCCAAAAGAAGAATTTGCTTTCTCTGAGATATTTTTCTAGCGTTAACAAAGCAGTTACCTAGCATTTCCAGCCAGGGAGAGATCTGATATTTAAACACAGCATTAAGGGGAACCATGTGTCTCTAAATTCAAATGCCCTTGGTGCCCTCAAATTATATACTTGATCTTATCAAGAACTTGTTTAATGTTCTTCTTGCTTGCATGTACAAGCTTTATTACTTATATTGGAAACCCTAGAGTGAGTGAGACATATTTTCCCCAAGTCAAACTGTAGAAAAACTATAGTAGGTATGCATCCAGTTATGATCTTGAGGACAAAGAGCCAAAGAAACGTCTATACATTCAAGGGTGGAATCAAACAGAGGAAGTCCCCGGCCACAACTCTGAATTTGTTGATGTCCCTTTGGGGCCAAGTGATATGGTAATTATCAGGAAAAATTCTCCAGGGAGATAGCCATCCCAACGCGCTTTAAAAAAAACAAAACAAAACAAACAAACAAAAAAAACACCCATAGGCAGTCCCTGGATTACAATTCCTGCCTGATTTCTTTCCTATAATAATATTATGTAAATCGGTCCTCAATTTGAAATGATTGAACCGATCTTTACCCCTATCAATTCTCCATCACAATCTCCTTCAACTATGTGTTGTTGTTGTTGTTGTTGTTAGGTGCTGTCGAATCATAGACGGCTCATAGTGACCCTATGAATGAAAGGCCTGAGCACTTCAACTACGTGTACAGCTTTTAAATCCTAGAAAAGGCTTCTACTCTTTTTATGCACTAACATAAGGATAAATAAGAACCTTATACACCTGTTTCAACTTACATATAGATTCTGAAAAATGCAGTTAGGAATGAATCTCATTTGTACCCTGGGGATTGCCTGTACTATATCTAAATCCAAGCAAGCAAATACTTTGTAATACTTCCCGTGAAAATACCATTCTATAGAAGTAAAAGATGCGCGTCAATCAAAAGTATTTACACTGACAAATATCAAATAACAAGCAGTCTAAAAGTTCCAAACTAGAACTTGGTAAACACACATCTATACAAAGAGTTCCATAATTAAATGCAATGTCAAAAGAAAGAATCTGCAGAACAAAAATTCCCTATTTTCCTTGATTAGAGGAGGAGTATATGTAATGTTGTTTTTACTAGTGGTCACTGAGTCGGCCCTTGATTCATGGTAACCCCATGAAGAATAGGATGGAACTCATGTGAGCTACAGAGTTTTCATTTGCAGAATTTTCAGAAATAGATCTCCCTGCCTTTCCTCCGCCCCACGTTGAAAGCCTGTTTAACCTCATAGCAACACATAAGCCTCCAGCGGCAGATGGTTGATGGTGTGCTGAGGTGCGCCGGCCAGGATCAAACCTGGGTCTCCAGCATCAAGGTCAGAAGCTTACCACGAATTTACCACCATCCCTGGGAATTACACTGTTGTTACGTTGAGTGAGAGCCCACTCACTGCTGACCCTCCAGCAGGTTTTCAGAGGCTGGCGATAACTAGGGAGGAGACTGCCCGTTTCTCTGCTGTGTTAGAGCCAGTCGATCAAACAACCTGCATTTGCGCTGGCTATGCAATTCCTTACCCATTAGTTGTTGGTTTTCTTATGTGCCATTGAGTTGCTTGCGACTCACAGCGACCCTATGTACAAGAGCTCTAAACGCTGTTCTATCCTGTGCCAACCTCATTTTAAAGAATGTTCTATTTACCAACACTTCCAAAGAGGTTATTTTCAATTAAGTTTTTTAAGTAATGTCTAGAATCAAAATCATGATCTATCAGTGAGAGGACAGGGTCTCACCAACAAAAAGCCTTTAACCCACAAGTCAACATGAGAATCTTCTTTTAAATGTTGCAAAGACAAAAACGGATCTCTAAAACGAAGTTTCCTAGGATTTATTATTGTGCTAAAATCTGTGTTAACTAACCAGATCAGGACTACTAATGCCTAAAAAAAAAAAAAAAAGCCTTTTAAAATCTTAAGTGTTGCAAAGTTGCAAATCCAAATTGTAAAAAAAATTTTTAAAATCTCATTTTTTTTTCCTTAAAAGATCACCGTCATTTTTACCAAGCTATGATTTTCCTTTTAAATGAACATTCAATTTCTAAACGCTTTTGGAAAGTATTTACATATTTTGGATGAAAAACCTTTATCAGGCATGAAAATGATTTTTGATCATTTTTTCCTAGCCTGACACTTATTCACTGCAGTCTGCCATTCGCAAGTGGAGAATCTGTGCGACTTACCCTGTTAAAGCAGTGCTCGTGGTTGGGTCCGTAAAAATGCTGGAGACACCGCACATTGTTTTTGTTGACAATCTTGTTGAAGAATTCGTTGACGAACTTGATAGGAAACGCGCAGACAGCAGACCGGTTCATCGGCTCGGCGGAGTCTGGCCTGCTCTGTGCGAACACCCCGTAGAGAATGTCATCGTTGGGGCTAGCCCCTATCTGCTTGGCAAGATGTGCCCCAGGCTTACTGACATAGGCGGCCTGAAGGATGTTAAACACCTCTTTCCTCGTGGATCTCTTCCTCCTCTTTTCAGTGAGGATACATTCCAGAGGCATTTCCATGTAGGAGTGTAACCCAGAATCTACAGAACAGAACCGGATGATTCTTGTGTGGAAGGTCTGAGAATCCAGAGTTTCCCGCTGGACCGTCAGGAAGTAGATGAAGTCGTTGCTTTCAAAGGCATGGATATACTTGATGGGGTACGAGTCCCGGAGCTCAGGGAGAACGTCAATATAGGACTGATCTGTCAGGAACTTGAAGCCATCCAGTGTCTCCTTCAGCCTCCTCACCGAGATCGAATGCAGCGAGCGATCCGGGAGGTAAGATGAATTGATGGTGTTGCCTACAAAGAAGTTGATGAACCTGTTCTTTTGGGTAAGGAGGACTCTGGTACCCAAGGCGCTCACCACGCAGTCGGGACACTGGCCAGGCTCTTCATCTGCCTCCTGGAAGAACATACAGTGAACCTCTGAACGTATGTCCGCAGGGTTGCCGGGTGGCATCACATGCCGATGGCAGGTCCCCCTGTTGACACTGCCGCAGCTGATAAGCTGGTCATCGTAGTAGGTATCAACAAGCAGGGCCATGTTGACGTTGTCCTTCCAAAGGCTCCCGGATTCGTTGGCTTTGCCGCTGCAGTCCTGACATGGCAGACAATCTGGGTGCTCCAGCACTGGCCCGGTCCTGTACTCGGCTACCTTCTGGAGGTCTTTGTCGTTGAGAACATAAATGCTGTTAACAGCCCCCAGGAAAATGTAATGCTCGTGCAAGACCACGTTGTGGATGGGCGTGTCTGCGGTGAAGTTGGGCAGCTGGTACTTCATGTTCATGTTCATCTCGGACTTGACCAGCGCCTCTCTGCACTCCTCACTGCTCTCCTGCACCAAGGTGAGGAGCAGGGTAAGGATGCTGGGTGCCAGCAGGGCGGGGACCCACATGGTGAGGAGGGTGCCTGCCAAAACACAAGGCCAGAGCAGTTGAGTCATCAACAGAAACACCGTGTGAACTACATCAGTTAAGCAACAAGAAAGAACACTTCTTAAACTGGACTTTTCTACTTCAGGTGCAAACAGCCCAAAATCTCCAGCTGAGTTCACATAAAGATGCACTGTGTAGCTGGTCATGACTCCATGCGGTTAAATTTTAGGACTCAACCATGAACGAGTCACTTTTAAGAACCATTATGAGATGCAAACAATGTTCTGTATACAGCAACCAAGTGCCAGTCTGGCAGCAGTGAAATGAGGAACAGAATACATTCCTTTCTTCACCACGTGCCATTGTGATCTGCTATCTGTGGTTAATGACTATGTGGACACTTAAACTTTCTCAGTTATTCAAGCAAAGGAACTGTGGTTGGGATTCTTTTATTTGAGAAGTCACAGCAAGCATTGTTTCCTCTGGAGCACACAGAATCACTAGGCTAAATTTAGCTTCCTTTTGGAAGAAAACAATCGTAAATTCTAGAAGCAATAGGATCACATGCTGTTTATGGGATTTCATGTGGCGGAGGAAAGGCATGGTTATGATTTGGCAGTAGTTAAGCTATTGTTTTAAGCAGACAAATAATTTAATGTAAGATCACTGGGAACCTGGAAACAACCAGCTGGAAATGTGTACAATGAAATAGAAGCTTTGGCACTCAAGTCATAGAACTATTTCTTAGGTGGAAACAACACACAGTGTTCACTACCATGTCAAAAAAATGATCTATTAAAAGTCAGAGCCACTTTGGGGAGGCAGCACTGGGGTTCACAGACAGGGGAATCCAAAGGAAAAGTGATTCACCAGACTGGAAAAGATGACCAGGGAGGGTCTTAAAAGAACTGAAAATTGGAAGCACGGAGAGTGCTTTGTGCAAAGATGGCGAGGCAGGAGAGAGAGCATTTTACGGTCAGGAGAGCCCATGGATGATTCTGAAGAAGTCGGGAAACCCAAGCAACACTTAAATATATCGTCACAATTCACGTCCACTCACAGTGACCCTCCAGCATATTCCCAGGGCTGTAAATGCTAACAGGAGGAGGCAAGCATCGCTCCTTCGAGTCAGCAGTGCCATTTTGCTACAGACCAGGAACTTACTAACTGCTGTTGGTGTAATAATCCAAGGGAAAAAGAACAGTGCTTCCAGGGCCCTGGAACTTAGAATGGGCTGAACATAAAACGGACAGCAGGAAAGGCTAAGAAGTCCGAGGAAGAGGCAGGCTGCTGGAGGGTTCAGGGCAGGTGACCTCAATATTTTAAAATCTGATTGGAGCATGTAACCTATCCGCTGAAAATGATGGATGGATACAGACTAGGGACCAGGAGGCATTTCTGGATGCAAGGAAGAGCCTGAAGATAGTTAGAGCAGGGCCTACAAACTGAGGTCAGTAAGAAATGCACAAAAAAGGACAATGTGGGAGCTCTGAGGGAGATTAAAACCACAGTGTTTTGTGGCTTCCTCTTTACGCTGGAGAGGTGGGAAGATAGGACAGAGGGACAAAAGCAGAGTGATTTTTCCAGGGTCCAATTGGAGATGTCAGACTGGGGACAAAGAAAAACCAGAAGAGGACAGCTGGCTAGGAGGCCGTGCTAGATTTTAGTCTTTAAAGACTTGGGAACACGAGGACTAAAACAAAGGAATAATGCCACTGCCACCATCACATGCCATGCCCTTCCTCTGCGCCAGGCAGCTGCAAACCCTCTCACCCACTCAGCATTTACCTGGAAGCAGGTACACTCATGCTTCTTTTAATGGCATCTCATTTTGTTGTACTTCCCTGTATTGCGTGAGGTACTCTCTTTTTAAGTCAATCGATACATCAACAAAATTTTTCCCAACAGTATGTGTTCACTTTGTATCTCTGTGTTAGATCTTGTTTATGTTTTGGCATGTTTAGTAGGAGACAAAAACCTAAACTCAAACTCACTACTGTTGGGTTGGTTCTGATATACAACCACCTTCCACTGGGCTTCTGAAACCGTAAATGACAATGAGGAAAACAGTCCACCAATCTCCCAAGTAAATGCTTGCTGTTGTTCTTATTATGTGCCATCGAATTGGAACTGACTCATAACTGACTCTCCTGGGCATTTTCAGAGGCAGTTAACTGCATGAGAGGAAGTTGTCCAGCTCTCTCCCACAGAGCAGTGAGTGGATTCGAACCGTGTGTCTTTGGGTTGTCAGTACAACTCCTTATGGTACAAAGAGTTAAGTGCTCAAGTACTGAAAAACTAGTGGTAAAAACCCATGCAGGGACATCTGAGAAGACAGTCAATATGCTTCTGAAAGATCATGGCTTTAGAAACACTTAAGAAAAAGCTCCATTCTGTGCACCTGCGAGCGTCAGGAGTTGGACTCAACCTGATGGCAACTAACAACATAGTGTTGTTGTTGTTGTAGTTGTTAGGTGTCATCGAGTCTAGTATGACTCACAGTGACCCTATGAATAGAAGATCTGAACCCTGTTCTATCTGCACCATCCTCACACTTCCTAACACACATGAGCCCAATGCAGCAGTCACCGTGTCAATCCACTTGGTTGAGGGTCTTCTTCTTCTTTGCCAACAACATGGTGTTATGTGCTGTCAAATGACTCTATGAACAGAAGTTCACTCTGCCCAGTGCTGTACCATCCTCCAGTCTCCACTGTGCTTAAGCCCATCGCTGCAGTTCATGCCAATCCTCCTTGCTGAGTGCCTTTCTCTCTTTTGATGACCTTCTAACTATTTTCCATATCCTCCTCCAGGAATTGATTCCTTCTAATAAAATGCCCATATGTAATCTACAAGAATTACACTTCAATATCAAGAAAACAAAAATCCTCACCACTGTACCAATAGACAACATCACACCAGATGGAGAAAAGACTGAAGTTGTCCATTATTTCACTATACTGGGATCCACACTCAACAGTCACGATAGCCAAGAAAGCAAAAGATCAGGCACACTGAGATAATCTGCTATCTGGGACCACTCCAAAGTGCTAAGGAGCAAGAATGTCAGTTTAACATAAAGGTATGTCTGATTCAAGCCATGGCATTTTCAATTGCTTCTTATTCATTGAAAAGCTGGACAATGAATAAGAAAGATTAAAGAAGAATCGATGCCTCTGAATTGTGGTGCTGGAGAAGACTACTGAATAATGCACGGACTGTCAACAGAATAAACCAGTCTATCCTGGAGGATATGGATTGAGGCTCAATGTCAAGAAGACAAAGGTTCTGACCACTGGGCCAACTGGCAGCATCGGGATGGATGGTGAAGAGACTGAGATTGTTCACAGCTTTAGTTTGCTTGGCTCCACAGTCAACACTCTTGGCACCAGTAGCCAGGAAATTAAAAGGCGCATTGCCATGGGAAAGTCTGCTGTTAGGGACCTCTCCAAAGTACTGAAGAGAAATGGTGTCTCCCTGGAGACTAAGGTGCGTGTGATACAGGCCATGGTCTTTGCAATCACTTGTTATGCATCAGAGAGTTGGACAATGACCAAGGCGGATAGAAGGAGAATTGATGCCTTTGAGCTGTGGTGCTGGAGAAGAGTAATAAGAGTACCACGGACTGCTAGCAATGACCAAGGAGGATAGAAGGAGAATTGATGCCTTTGAGCTGTGGTGATGGAGAAGAGTAATGAGAGTACCATGGACTGCTAGCAATGACCAAGGAGGATAGAAGGAGAATTGATGCCTTTGAGCTGTGGTGCTGGAGAAGAGTACTGAGAGTACCATGGTCTGCTAGGAAAACAAACAGATTCATCCTGGAAAGGGTTAAACAGGGTGGCTCCTTGGAGGAAAGGATTCTGAGGCTCCGTCCAACATACTCTGGTCATGTTGTGAGGAGAGACCGGTCCTTGTAGAAGGACATCATGCTTGGGAGGGTGGAGGGATAGCACAGGAGGAGAAGGCCTTCTATGAGGTGGACTGATTCAGCAACTGGGGTAATCAGGGTGGGTGTGTCAGAGACAGTGAGAATGGCACAGGACAGAGTAGGGTTTAGGGCTGTTGTACATAGGGTCGCTGTGAGTCGCAAGCGACTCGATGGCACATAACAACAACAGCATCATCCTGGAGGAAGTGTAACCAGGATGTTACTTAGAGGCAGGGATAGAGAAATATCATCTCACATACATTGGGCATGTTGTGAGGAGGGGCCAGTCCTGGGGAAATGACATCACGCTGGGAACGGTGGAGGGTCAGAGAAAGAGAGAAAGACCCTCAACACAATGCAGTGGCACAGTGACCTAACAATGGGCATGTCAGAGGTCAGGATGAGGCAGGACCAGGCCAGGTGCAGATCTGTTGTTCACAGATCACTGTGAGCCAGAGTTGGTTTGAAGGTGCACAACAACAACAACAACAACAACAACAACATGCCCAGGTATCTGAGAGGACGTCTCATCAGCCTTGCTTCCAAGTGGTGCTCTGGCTACACTTGTTCCCAGATATACTCTATTTTTATGTATAATTTTCACTATTTTTAAATGAACTAAAATTATTTTTCTTTGCGATATTAACAAAAGTTTACAGAACAGTTGGATTTTCATTCATTCATGACACATATTCCTCCCTCGTCCGCCCTTCCTCTCCCCCAGCCCACTTGGGGAATTTTTGGGTGGTGGTGGTGTGAAAAGAAGTCAAGGAAAAGGAGGTTTTGGGGTAAGTGTAAACTACTAAGAAACTATAAAAATATATCTATATCTGTTAGGGCATATTACGTAAAAAAATTAAATGTGGTATCAATGCGCCATCCAAAATTGGAACGTTAGTCTAATAAATAATATATTACCATATTCTCTCTAAGAAAAACAGTAAAGGAAGGAAATAAATGAACCATTACTGCTAAAAGGGAATGGGGAAGCATTACAATCAATTTGCATCTCATTCACCATCCATTAACGCAGTGTGGAGGGTGAATGACTTTTTTTCTTGTGTGGGTGTTTTGCAGAAGCATTCACTA